TAATGATGCTTTCTGGGCTATAAACAGACCTCTGAGACTATCACAGCGCAGGTGCTTTTATACAGAGACTTTATTACACAAATGGATTCTATTTATCATCATCACTCATTTAGGTCAACATTGAATAATTCAGAGATCCCCCCCCTGAACTTCTGAAGAGTTTCCTACACTGAAGGGGCCGATTAATTTTGAATGGCATCACTCTTCAGTTTTATTAGCTGTTAAAAATGTATCTAATAAATTTCATTCCACTTCATGACTGTGTCCCACTTGTTGATTCTTCACCAAAAAATTACAATTTAAGTTCCTTATGTTTGAAGCGTAATAATTGGCAAAAGGTCAGAAAGTTATTTTTACAAGGCACTGTATTTTTTCAAGAGATCAACTCATATCTTTCTTGGCCTATCAGTACAAATACAACTATAGGTGGATATGTTATCTGTTGGTTTCTTAGCCTTAATACATATTATACATACATATTATAATATCCTTAATTTCAACACATAAAGTTGCAGTGGAATATTGTAGAGGGGTGTGTTTAGTTAAGTTATATAATTCAAAAAAGTGACTAGGTGTTTATTACTGTTTGTATGACTATCTTATACACCTGAAACCAAACTCCTTTTAAAATAAAAAATTGAATAACATTAACATTTAAAACAAAATCTGAATTCATACAGGTATGAACCATCTTTGTAAAGGCACAGCTAAAATTGCTAGCAGGCTGTTGCAAGGAGCTGGTTCCAAAAAATGAATGAATGCAAGAAAAAGTGAAGTAGAAAATGGTTCTCAAGCAAAAGTGATAACCTTCAGAAACTTTTAAAGCTAAGATCATTCAAGAGAAATCAGCGCTTTAACAGCCACCACTCTCAGACACACTTGCTGTCCTTGTGTTATGCCACTGCTAACATCGGCTGATGCTCAGTCACTCAAAGTTCTCCAGATTAAGTCAATACTGTATTTCAGCTTGAAATATAGGTCTGAGAGTTTCCATTTCTAGTTACTCCTGTTCCCATTACAAATATTTTTCCACAGTCAGTGACCATATGGGGAACTGTCTCATCTTATATTATTCCAGTCAGTGTAACTGTTCATCCTTAGGACATCTTAAAGCCATTTCTGGCTCCTTCTGATTAACTTTAAGATTTTATATCGATTTGGACTTTTTTGTTTTGACCAGGAACAGATAACATAAAGCTTTAATTGCTTTTACTACTTTCAGGGAATCCTTTCATCCTCAAAGACTGCCCACAAAATGGGGACAATAATTCTGCATGTTTTGAGGCCTTGGCAAAATAAAAAGTGAGTTTGTTAAGCTAACAATCTAAAATCACATTGGCCTTCATTTGAATCTGGTTCGAATCAAGAGGTCCTCTTCCCATTTCTTGCAGCCTAATAAGCCTCTATACTTCTTAAAATAAATGAGTGAAAACTTTCTAAGGAATGCAACTCTTCTGGTGTATTAAAATATAATCCCTCTGTTTACATATGACAGTTTCCTAAACAAGCAGAACCCCAAAACACAGTTTTCACTCGTTTCCTGGTCTGCCAAATTGAAAGGTCTGTATATTGTGCGGCAGAGGGCGACACAGTTTAGTCATTTTCTAACCAGTGTCACATTTTCTTTCCAGGGCAGAGAAAATTTTAATTGCAAATCTATAGCTTGAATATTGAGAGGTTTTGCATATTTTCTAACGGTTTTAAGCATAGAACCCCCCATAACAGATCAGCATTAGAAATGAAAAGAAAGGATACCAAAAAAATTTGTATTGAGCAAGATGTCCGTGTTTAGAATGTAGGCAATATTCTGTCAAGTTAGATGATCATTTGGTCAGAAACATTCCTATCATTTTTAAAACACCTCACACTGAAAGTAACTCGGGTGAAAAAAAAAAGCCCAATGAACAAATATAAAACTAGTTGATGCTGATAAACTAAAACAAATATAAAACAATACACCACAGACATCCAGGAAGTAAATGGAGACACACCCATCTAATTTCCCTATTACCAGCAGGTGTGGAGGCAAGAGGCCAACATCAGGGAAAACCCGTTTTCGTTTTGTCCAGTAAAGCACGTTTTAAAGACAAAAGGTTAAAAAAAAAAAACAAATGCAAACATAACTCTTCTTTTATATTTAATATTTACCCACAACTTTTGACTTGTTGAATACTGGGAAAAAAGAAACAAAGTGGATCAAAATGATGTTTTTAATTAGAGTTTTAGTACAACAATTAAAAAAAACAAAAACTTATAAATGCCTTAGCTTTAGAACATATCAGTTAACAGTACATCCTTAACAAAAAAAAACAAAACAAAAAAAAAGATTTGGTGCGGTTCTCAGCACAACATTCAGATGTCAGATCCATTTGGCGCAACATTTAGCTCCACTCAACTGCAGCAATGAAACAATTACTTGTATTTGCTTCATTAATGAAATGTTAAACAGTAAAGATGTAGTTAGAGTTGCCTTGTTTTGGTCACATCATTAGAAGAAGAAGAAAAAAAACATGGGTAGGCACATTAACAGTTGGTAAAAGAGGTTGACATATTTCTTCAACACCACTTTTTTAAGGCAGTAAACCTTGAAGGTACAAAAAGGAGGAGCAATGAAATCACATACATGCTGCTTTTAACACAGGTTAAGTATAAAGTATAGTAAACATGACTATTAGATTGTACCTTTGGCTGAACATACGGCTTTCTTTTAGAAACAATAGGATGCGAATCAGTCTTATGTTCTCCTCCTGTCAGCTGTACATTAAAGAACTTAATTACAACATTGGTCAGCTATGGATTAACAGTACCAGAGAGAATAAGAGCAGTGTGACAACAAAAAAGAAGGAAATACGGTAGTGTAGTGGTTTTCTGAGTATCATTTGAGTTTTTGAAAAAAATATACATATCTTTGGCCATTCACCAAACTATTGGATATGGACTAGGGTCCAGAAACAGTTTTGAAGGTTTACATAAATCACAAAAATCCCAATTAGCAAAAAAAAACAAACTTGTAGCTGTTTGGTAGTGATGCAAGTGTAAGTATACACCTCTTAATTCATGAGCTTACAGCCAGCTGTCCCCACACAATGTATCTCTAAATAAACTTTGAGGAACTCTTTACAAGTAGACCTGAAGAAGAAATCTGCTGGGAATTCATTTTATCTTGGAAGACAGTGTGAAGAACCATCAGGAGAGGAATGTTAAGACAAAGGCATTCAAAAAGGTGATTCGATTCAATAGACCTCAACTCCACTGCCTGGTTTTAATTAAATTAACGAACACAAACAAGTTGACAAAATAATTTTAAGTAACACTTAAAGCAAAAGAAAAAAAAAGAGGCAGTGACTAATCCCAGTCTGTACTTTTTGAAATATAGGTTTTTCTTTTGGTTGCAGATGGTCATTGGCTCACATTTTATTGAAGCACTCTTTGGCGTTGGACCACACTTGTATTCCCTAAAATAGCAAAAAAAAAATAGTAGAAAATGAGATTATAACACCATTATGAAAATCCATCAGGAACATTTGCTGTGAAACTAAGAAGTGAACTCCTACCTTCTTACACATGCTGATCTGCATAATGGCATAGCTGATCAATGCTTCACGCAAGTCTCTGTCCTTCTGCTCCTTAAACCGTTCAATGTCGCTCCATGCCTTCTCCACAAACTCTCTGATGACACATTCACAAACACAACCTATCATCAGTCTGTCTTGGGGAAAAGAACTAAAGGAAAGCAAAGAGGATAAGCCAGAGGAAAAGGAAACTAACAATGGATGATTTTTGTACGACTCCATTTATTCATGTTCTACTTCCTGGTTTTTGTACAGCAGACTGCTTTTGTATACAAAACCCACTGACTAGACGGGCAGCTGTGCAACATCATCATCAGAAATGTATGATGACTACGTGGGTAGAAAAACAGCACTCAGCTGGGTATTTTTTTTGTTGGGAGATGAGCCTCTAAGCAGATACAGATGGCAGGTAGCCATGCCAACTGTCAATAATATAAACATATATACCCTGAATAATAACTACACAAATACTGAAAACATTTTAGCTGATTAATTTGATTCCAATAACCAGAATCTTCTATATATTGGGCAAAATTTAAATGGAAAATTGTAACTAAAACACACTATAAGCATTTAATGCAAATTTGTTATAGTGCACTTTTATCATGATTAAAGTAACTACCTTTAATATCTCAGAACCATCTAACCATAGGATGAAAAGACCAGTTCTGGGATTTCAGGCTTCATTTCAATTCATTGATATGACTTAAACTGTTGGAGCTAAAAGTGAAATCTGAGCACTTCAAAAAAATAAAATAAAACTTAAGTTCTAGGTTGTCAAATAGAGCCTGGATTTTTTTGCGAAACCAACAAATGTATTCAACTTAAAGAAAAAGATGTTTAGAAACTGACATTTTATACAGAAAAATTTATATTTAGACAAAAAAACAACAGTATTAAAATACAAATTCAGTTTCCTGACAGCAGTGAGGTCGGCTCCAGACACAATCATTCAATTAGAAAAACATGTTTATATTCATCACATCAATCAAACGCAACATCTCATTTTATCTTTACTTCAAGCCTCAACTATATTTTAATTAATGATACAGTACCGCCCTCCTGCTGACTCACTTTGTACTACCCTCAGTTAATACATATTTTGCTAGTTTCTACAAAAGTCAGTTTTCCCCCATTTGACAGAAAAAGATAACCTGAATCATTTAGGTAAAAGCCAAAAATGAATTGATCTATAGAGTAACTTTAGTGCTTCCTAATGATCATATTTCCCACCATGCTGAACCTGAAACAATAAACCCATTATATTATGCATTACATCATTAGAGAATTTCACAAGGAAGGATATTAAAGAACAGAAACTCAGACAGCTGTGGACGTTTGTTCAGTATAAGCCTTACTGGGTCTCTGCATTCTTCTCCTTGAGGGCGTTCTCCCCCTCCTGGATACTCTGCTCCAGGGCTGCCACTTTGCTCTCTCTCTGCTCCTGTGTCTCTTGACCAAATAATTTACTGGTCATTCCCTTAAAAGAAAAGATTCGCACCGTCTGCAAACACAAACACACACAGAAAGGGAGAAGTGTATAATTGAAAACAGATTGTATAAAACCCTAATTGCAAAACATGTTTACAACTTAAAAATGTACACTTTAATGATCATATGCATGCCCCTGACTAAGGTCTTAATAGTGTATTTTGATCAGGTACAAATGTGCAGTTTTGAAAGGTTTAAGTTACTGTTACCCCAGTTTCCATCTCCTCTTTCTGTTGTTTCTTGTAGGAGAGGTCCTGTGCTGCCATCTCCAGCTCATATTGGATCAACTCATGTTTTCTACAGACTGACCTAAAACATACATAATTTAGGAAATAAAATGTTAAAACTGACCATTGTTTATTGTTTATTTTCATTCTTAGAAGAAAATTAAATGCAAACAGGGAATCTGCAAAAAAAAAAAAAAAAGGAATACATTTATGATTAAGTCACCTGGTAGTTGAAAATTAGCTTTTCACACCGGTTTCAGTGTTTAAATGGAAAATTAGGACTAATTTCTGTTTTTCTGATCTCTGGATGGATACCTGACCTACCTGGTTTGTTCAAATGTAATTATAGCATGTTCTTGAGTAATGCTTGGTTGATTTTAGGCTACTTGGAGTTAAAAGTGGCTTCACATAAATGCTATACATCTGTTATTTTGGTTCAGAAGCCACATACTCTAGATCTAGAGTGCTAGACTGTTAGTGTACTCTATCTTTTATATAGGAAGTAGCATTCTAAACTAAAAACCAAAGAGTAAAGTGAATGAAAACAATTTGCCCTTCCTATAAAATTCTTTACTGTATCCTTGTTTAAGTATTATGTGGGAGAAAACAAAAGCCATTTATTTAAAAAAGTCCTACTAACATGGCCTGCACTTTTATAGTGTTAATCAAGTCTGAGGACTCCAGAGAACTTCACATCATGGCCACAGCTGCCCTTGGGTAGAGGGAGGCTGCCTTATAATAAGCTCCATGGCGCCCTCTGGCTTCATCAGAATGAAATGAACTGGGGGGTAGGGTGTGGAAAGAGGCAGGGAAAAAAAACCAAACCCGCAACCTACTAGTTACAGGTAAAACCCATGAGCCATCGTCCATGCTCCATAGCATGGATTTTTAAGGGAGAAACATTTTTACAAGGCAGAACAGAGTCATGTAGGAGTCTGACTGAGGCAAGATGGAGCCCTCTCTCCAACATTTTATGTTGGCCACTTTTTGAACAATAATGATTAATATTACCGAACTTTATTGATCTTACATTTGAGAAATTTACCTCTCCATTTAACCCATCCCCTTGGGGAGCAGTGGACTGCTGTTGTGTGGCACCCGGTAGGAATCAGGGGTTAAGTGTTTTGCTCAGCGCACTGCTCTAACCCACTAGACCAACACTCCGCCTAGGAAGATTGTTTATTTCACACTTATCTACCTGACAGCATCAGTGTAGAAGAGATACTCCTTCAGTTGGTCTGCATAGTGCTCCTCCTCTTCAAGAATGTCATCTATTGATGCAGCATAGCTGGAAACAAACAGAAACATTATTTGTTTATAGATAAGCTAAACAAAACATTTTGTTTCAGTGCCTGTGAATACAGTGGTAATTATTAACTTAAATAAAACAGCAAAGAGTTGCCAGCAGGTTAATAGTTAGGAAGAACCATTCTCTACTTACGTATCCATGTGGTGACCAGCACTCTGCAATCCATCTCCCATTTCCTTTTCTATAGCACTCCACTCACTGAGAAACAAACAGTTTGGGGTATTGCTTTACCTCAGCACCGTCCTCATTTGTGTCAAACAAACTAAATTGCTCCTTTTTGCTCTCCATTACACATGTATTTTCTATAGTCAGTTCACACCGATCATTTCTGTTAAATAACTTCACAAATGTTTCAAACATTCTGAACAATTTCTTACCTGAAAACTCTGCCATAGTTTGCATGGACTTTATAAACTCCATACAGTCTGTCTGCAACTCGCTGCAATTAAGAAAAAAAGCAAGCTGTTTTTTCTTTGTTCTTTCAAAAGTCTTTTAGAAAACATTCCAATTAAAGCCAGAAGCTTCATTATAAATGGGACCCAGTGCCTGAATATTTATGAGCATAGCTTATGTGAACAAAGAAAAGGAGAGGAAGTGATAACAGAAGTATCAAATATAAAATGGAGATTATTTATTAAAGTGGAAACACCTAAAGCCTAAGCTAAAAAAACAAACAAACAAATATTAATTTTATATAAAGCTACGGGCATTGCTTATGCCTATGGCTGGACAATAATTAAATGTAAATATATAACATATAATGTAATTTGATTCAATAACTGTGAGGACATTTAAACATGTTTTCAGTATTTTGACATACGCAGCAGTTGGCTGTCACGGTGTTTGTCACTGACTGACGTTCCAGCTGATCCCAGCTGAACACTGGCTGAATGCGCGATGGTGTAAACATCAGACAGCGACCCTGGGCTCTGTATCTGTAGGCTGTCCTGCTCAGCTGCTAAGCTCCAACGCGGTACGTTTTAGTAACAAAATGACCAAAGTCAAGTTTGGCTGATTTGTATTTAGCACAAGCTGTCCCTTCAAATGTCTCTGACGTGAGGATGAGAAAAAATTTGTTGCATGCAAACCGTGTAGAAAGTATGCTGCTCGTAAAGAAACAGCTGGTTGAACAGCTTTAAGTTACAGTCAGGGGAAAAGAGTTCAGCACAGTCTTTAAATGAGAGGAGAGCATAAGCCGTCACCACCAACGGGAAACTGTCTTGTGACATTATGGGATGTTAGAATTAATTGATTTTGTTTAGACTGAGCTTATCATTCCAAATGTTAGTGTCATCAATACGCGCTGTGCTGAGGTAGAGTAAAGAAAGAAAAAAGGGATGAATCAGGGATGAAAATCACTTTGGTTTCCAAAAAGAGAAGGGGAGAAATAATAACAGAATGATTTTAAAAAACCCACAACAGAAAAATAATTGTAAGTGCTGCCTGCAGCATCAATAAGGGTTTATCAAAAGGTCAATTTTTGTAAATTAATTAGGGACCTTTAGTCTGTATTTTCAGAGCTGGTTATGAGTCATTACTTGCTTTGCTAATGTATTATAGGGTATTAGTGAAAAATAGTCTTTCAGCCTTAGGTCTGAACGTCTGCTTGAACAAATGAGTCAATTATTAAAAAGTTAAAGTACTCAATAACAAAGAAACTGAAAGAGGCAAATAATCATGGACTGAGGAATATGAGGAGATTATTGAGATTAATGATTATTTCATTTGTTGAGCTTGTTGCCTCCACCTCCCAAAAAAGTAGATAGATTTAGAAAAAAACAAAAAACAAAAAAAACAATCATTTCTGACACGTTATATTCATTTTGGGGTCTCACAGACTTGGCATGATAACATTCAGAAGTTTGTAGACATCTTTTGTTGGTTTTCTTGGCGATTTTTCTGAGGCTTTTACATTGTTTATATTAATACTTGAACTCCGAACTTACCGCTCTGATCCTGAGTAACTGAGAGATGACAGTGCTTAAATTATCACTGTAGTTTTTCAGAGATGTGAATCGCCTAAACAAACAAAAAAAAAAACAAAATTATTCTTTCAGTTAAAGCTGAACTTTAGTTCAAATATACAATTTTTTTCTAAATGTCAGGCAAAAGTGTTATGACCCATTTTTAATCCTTCTCCGTCCTAAAATATGTTTTTATTGCAGGCATGTATATTTAATTGACTCCACCAAATTCCAGATAAAAAAAAAGTAAATCTCATCTAAGTCATTAAAATTTGAGTGTAACCAATTCATGACCAGTGGCAGCTGACCAATAGAGGGCGCTAGGGTGCTGCCCCACCAGCCCAATGACTGATTAAGACATAAAAAAATCCAATTAAATTATAAAATTAAAATATTTCAAAATATATTGATATATTTTTTAGATGTGCAAGATACATATTTAATCCTTAATGACGAGTAAAGCGTAATTTCATTTTTCATCAGAAGGGTGACGTATTTCCGCCCTACAGTGCAAAAATCTTTGCCAATTGACTCGCGTTAAAAGTTGTACATGCACAGTCGCTCCTCTGAAATACAAACGTATAGGAGAGCTCTGGGCCCCCTAATGCTATGCTCTTAGCTAACAGGAACTGTCGTCACAGTTGTGTGGGTGATGTAACGAGTACATTTCTCCACTTTGAGATCAATAAAGTCAATCAATCAAGCGTACGTCTATTTTGAATGTACAGCCCCGCCCCCGGAGAAAACTCCACCAGCCGCCACTGTTCAAGACTGAAATGTTGTAACCTACCATCTTTCGAAATGGTTGAAATTCTTTACATACGTGTATGATGTGTTGCTTTATGAGCTCTTTTATTCCATGTCATGTTTTGTATCCAAGTAAAAAAAATTTTTTCCACCTACTTGTCAGGATTCTTGACTCTGAAACTGGCACTTAAAGACTTTAATCTGGAGTCCACCTTTTGAAACAGAACATGCATAAAAGTAAATCAAAAAGTACAGAAAAATCTTGAATAATATAAGATTCAATGTCATATGACAATACCATGATAACAAACATTAACATAATACATTCAACAACAGAAACCTGATCCAACCTTATCTTGGAACCCGGTCTCGAGAACCGCTTCCCTCCAACCCTTTTCCTGGGGACATTCAAATAACAAAAGACAGACAAGGTCACAATAATACTATGTAAATATAAAATCAAAAGGCGATTGACAAAACAAATTCACATAAACAACAAAAAAAGACTAGAGGCCTGTTTCACAAAACCAAAGTAGGTTATTAAATGGGATTTTCTAGATATTCTGGCTTAATTAAACCTCCAACTTTGTTTTACAAAAGCAGCAACACATCAGTTATCATAGCCATTTATTTTGTGCACCTAGCCATATTGTTTTTTTATTGAAGTACTTTCATTTTTCTAACATTATTATGGCAGCCTATACCATTTGAAATACATTTTCCCTTTGGATGTTACTGTACAACAGTGTACCCAATTTAGCAGAAAGCCCTTAACAGATTATTAAAAGTGTTGAAGGGATTAGAAAAAAAAAGGCTTTTAGAGAAACAAAGGTCAGACCATAAACGTAGCTCTAAACATAAGTGTCCTCCAGATTAATTACACTCAACTATCTGCATGAGCAGTACTGGTTTTCTCCATCTTTTCTTTTCCCAGCTTTGTTTTTGTCATTACACTGTAACCAAGTTCAGAGGAACGAAATGAACTCTCTGCATTAAACCCATCCCCTTGGGGAGCAGTGGGCTGCCATTGTGCGGCACTGACTTCTTCAATTTTCAGTTAAAAGAAGCGGTTAGGAGATGTGTATTTTAGCCTTTTTTGGCATTTAGTCTGCTATTGTTTACCAAATCAATAAATATGTGATTACTATGATTTCTTGAAGAAAACTGCAGACCTGCATTAAAGGTATAGGGGAGGATTTTCCCAAATTTTTTTAAAACATCCACCCTCTCCACTTCGAAAAAAAATGCACATGCACAACTTTGTACATGCTCCCCAGAGGGAACGCCTATCGAACGCTTGCAAGAGCATGCATGACCATGCATGAGCTAAATCTCCTGGTGCTCACTCGGTTTAAAAGTTACTGTTTGCATTGCTTAATCAAGCTTACTTTGCAAGAGATTTGCAATTTTTCCACAATGTCAAACTCACCACCGGTAAGTGAAAATATATTTACGACAAGCAAACATGTTTAAAGAAATACGTCCATAGCCCATCATAATACAGATATTGTGAATGCAAATATGTGTCTCTGCAGCTACAAGTACCTTTACCATGCTACAAGCCAATAAACTATTGTCAAGCAGGTAGCACGTGAACATATCACCAGAATGAATGATAATTAAGAGGACCACTTATTTTGATGATCTACACAGAAAAAGAACATCCTGCACTCTACCTTTCAGCTGGAATATTTACATCTGGCTTGACGTAAACGAGTGAATCCTGGCTTGGCTCTATGTGAATTGGATGAACCCAGGATGCGCTCATTATGCTAGTTCCAGCCTGGCTTCAGCTCTTGTCCTGGATTTCCTAATTTTGCTTTAGTGAAATAGGCCTCAGAGCTCACCTGAGTGTGTTCACACCACACAGTCACGAAAGGTCCAAATCAACAGAGATTTTGGTTGTCAAATGCAATTGGGTTCAAAAGGGACAAATAAGTTGTACATTTGGTTACAAACCTCTGTGAGAAAGAGGAAGAAAATATTATCGTTTGACAAGACAGGATGAGATGCAACACGCAGCAGGAAGTTTTCTAGACCAACTCTTCGCCGCTCTACAAAATCTGGGTCGAGGTTATCCGCTGAAAGCTTGTGCCACACAAACTCTGCCTGCAAGCGATAAAAATCAAAAATAGAAACAGCATCAACAAAGGCCTATGAAGTGATCCTTTTTACTTTTTCCATATTATATCAGATTTAACAAATTACTATTGACTAAATCTCACCCTTTTTTCTGGTAATGGAGGGATGATGATGTAGGGATATGTGACCAAGAGGTATGTTCTGAGGAGCTCAAACTCACTGTAGCGTCTCCATAAAGTGTCGGGTGCAGCTGGAGTACCTCCTTCTGAGACTGATTCGGCTGGCCTTCAAGCAGAGATACAGAATTAAACAGCTTTTTAGAATGATAAAGAAGATTGAAAAGGGCTTTTTGCAGACACCTAAAGCCAAAAGAGAAGGAATGGAAAAAATAAAACACTTATCAGAGCATTTGCAACATGTTAGCAAAAATACCAACAACCAAGAACTAGAATAAAGAATCGTCAGACACTTCTGTTTAAGTATACGATTTTCAGCTTCCAGTTTTGTAGGGAAGCGTTTTTGGGGTATTCAGGTATTCCTGTTACTAAAGAAAGTGTAATATAAATGTTCATCAGTTTACATTTATAATTATCTTAAACCCAAAACATTAAAATATCCTGAAAGTCCTGACATACAATTACCTAAAAGTCTGTATTACTTCAGTCAAAAATATTCAAATTCTAACAATGCGGTGGACTGGTGGAATAAAAGTGGAGCTTCTTGGAATCTGGGTCTTGTTTTATCTGGAAAATCTGCTGTAACTGATGTAAACTGACTGAATCCTTTTTTATCAAATGGTCTTAAAGTAGAATTACTGCCCATCAGTTTGGGACCTTCATTTTATGCACACTTGGGTTATAAAGAATGATCCAAATCAAACCAACAAGCCCCCCCCAATTTTTGACTTTTCACCTTAATGTATTAGGGCTGAACAATTAATCAAACCAATCATGATTAATCAATTATTGAAATATTGTCAACTAATACAGTAATCGATTAATCGTAAACTGGAGTACAGAGACTGTAAAATGTGCCTTTAGCTGACACAGAGCATTTAGAGCAGTGATTATATCAAAATTGTAAATAAATATGTAAATATTTTGCATTTAAGATAAAATAATATTTTTGTCTGTCAATATGCTCTATCCAAAACTCCTCCTGGTTTAATTTCTTAAAAAATCTTTAAGGAACCTTTGCCTATCCGATGGTTGGAAAAATTATAATCAGATTAATCGATTTGCAGAATAATCGTTAGTTGCAGCCCTAAATATATTAGATCTTGATTTGAAAAATACACTTAATTTGGTAAACATTTCTGACTGAATTGCAATCAAATTGTTCATATGAAACATTTTAGTATTATAAAAATAGTAAAACCACAATAAATCTGCAAAATGGGTTTAAAGTTTTGTTCTGCAAGTTCACTCTATAATGTTACTCTAATTAATTAAGGTTAATTATTATTCTACATAAATGTAACTTAAAAAACAAGCTTACAGGGTTCCTACAACATAAGGCAAGTTAAAGTTAAGACTTTTTAAGACTTCTTTTTGTCCCTTGATAAAAAAAAACTTTAAGACCAACTTCACAATAAACACAAGAAAACCTGGTTGCGACAAATTTAACCTGATACTTATTTTAACATAAACCATTACTTTCTGGCCCAGTGTTTACAATTTTGAAAAACTTTCCATATAGGAAGAAAGCTAAAAATACACTAATAACAGATACATTATCTGGAGGTTTGGCACTTCTGGTGCTTCTTTTGAGGTCGGAGATGGCTGTAGAGGCCTTGCAGAAACAAGGGTGGAACAGAACTGAGAAATAGCTGCTGCTTCTCTGTAAATTTATTTTCCTGCTTTGTTTTTCACTCTTCACATGTCTGACTCCACAGCTCTGATTCCCATCGTGCTGAGGTTGAATGACTTCTTGCTCAAAATACGCCATTCCTCATATACATCCCCTGGTGCTGTTTTTTTGCCATTCCAGAAAACTCATTGAATTTACACTTCCTCATGTTATTGGCACATCACCCCAAGGTCTGGTTGCAACATCGTTGTTATTGGTTCTGCTGTCAGGATGGAACTAATGATTCTTCCAGTGAAGCTGTTCGGTAAATGTCAAAAAATTATGAATTATTTTAAATTTTTATATGAATTAAAAAAAAGAAAATCCTATTTATGACTTTGTGAAAATTTTAAGACATATGAAAGACTGATTTAGGACTTTTTAATACTAAATAAAGGCCTTAATGTTATATAGAAGAATTCGATGCCTTTTAAGACTTTTTAAGGATCTAAATGGAACCCTGTGCTTAGTATGGATTCAGCATACATGTTAAAGCACATATACTAGTAGAATAAACGTCAACTATCAGCATAAAATGTTTCTAAAGCTAAACTTATGAATATCAGCAAATAAGAGCAGCTCAGTTCATAGCTTACCGTGTTTCTATGAGGTAGACAGTGTAGGTTTCTTGCATATTAACAGTGTTCTTCCCTGTCCTCTTATCTGCCTCTGCAACGCTTATTTCCATTTTTTTCAGCAGAGCTGTGCTTCTTTCCACCATCTAAAGCCAGAAAGGTGCGATGCATGAGCAAAAGCAGCAGATTCGATGCATTTTAGGAGAACAGAAGCTTTGACATCTGTGCTTTTTCCTAAGAGTAACTCACATTACACATATAAACAACAACCGACCGAGCATGGGAAACAAAGACGTATTTTTTTCAGGACGGGATATGCAAACTGTGCACAGATAACATGGAGCAAGCTGGATGAATAGGGCTCATTCAGATAAACTAAACTTTCCGTTTCAACTGGCTAACTGGCAAGCTAACGGCTAGAGCAAAGTTGAAGAAGTTTTTAAACGTCGTCAGCAGGCGCGTTTACCAACTCCTATACCAACTTTAACCGTCATATACAAAGGTTGTCACTAACACAGAAGTTAACAAAAAAAAAAAATCTATAAAAAAAAACACCCAACTGCTTTTTTTGTTGGTTGGTAGGCGTCACCATAACTCGGCTAATTTAGGCCATACTGTCAGTGTTTTCTCTCGGGATAATATGAGGCAAACCGTTTAAACATCAGCCGTGATGGTTTGAAAGAATTAGAAAGTACAACCGTGTTTATTATGTTGTTCTCCGACTCCGATGAAGTAATGTCGGTGTTGCAAATCACAGCTACTTCTTCGCTACTTCCCGAGTCTGCCATGGTCATCTGATTCCTGATATCACTGCTTTCTGTCAGCTGAGTTGGCAGTGCGCATGCGCACTAAAGAAATAGTCCTGGAAACTTAAAATCCTAAAAATAATAAATGGGGGGAAAAAATGATTTATAGTGTAGGCAAAATAAATTCTTTAGAATTTGAGTAAAAGAAAATAAAGACGGTTCATATATTGTGTATTAATTAATTAGAGCAGAGGTCTTCAACAGGGGGTCCGCGACCCCTAGGGGTCCGTTGAGGTACTGCATGGGGATCGAGAAAGTTTTGGTTGTTAAGATTTTTTTTTTTATATTCCCCCCCTGCAATTTTTTCCACTAATTGAAATGTCTTTAAATACACATTAACACGAATTTAACACACTGTAGTAAACAGATAAATGGATGCAGAACATGTCTTTTACTCATCAATGCAGATCTGTGTTTCTGAGTAAAAATAAGTCAATTATCTGACAAAAGAGTGGAAATGAGAAGATATATATATATACATTTTTTTTCATTGTTGTTCCAATAAGTTTATTGTAAGAACAGAAACATAGACTCTAGATTTTTTTTAGTTCTTCAAAAAGTCAGAGAAAGATTATTAAGATTTGACGCATAAAATATCTAATCTTAAAAAGTTTTTTTTTCTCTTTTTGGAAATATGAATTTAGATTGTTTAAAATTCTAAAAACATGACTTATATTTTGAGATAGTCTTCAACATAAATGACAAATATATTCATATATGTATTCCCCCCTGCATTTTTTCCACTAATTGAAATGTCTTTAAATACACATTAACATGATTCAACACAATGTAGTAAACAGATAAATGGAGGCAGAAGATGTCTTTCAGTCATCAATGCACACATTCAGCAACACACAAGAGCTCTTTTAAGCTGGGCACAGTTTTATTTACAACACCTGCCCCATCAACGAGAAATCAGAATCAGAAATACTTTAATAATCCCAGGGTGAAAGTACCCCAGCTTTAATAGAGTGACTATATGACCAGTTTGATAGAACACAGTTTCATTACAATGCTAATATAATACACTGCTAATCAAAATCTTAAGACCAGTCAAAAAATTGCAAGAATTTGCATTTTGCAAACATTTTTTTGTGGAAAAAAAAAATCATGTTTGAGTGTAAATGCAGTTTTCAATTAAATCCCCGCTCAAAAGTTTTTGTCTCTTACTCTGATTTCTTCTTTTAACATTGTGAAGCTCTACTTAGAACCTTCTTAAGATCCAATAGTGCAAAATGCAAATTCTTGCAATTTTTTGACTGGTCTTAAGATTTTGATCAGGAGTGGGGTTATAATTAGGGGTCCCCTCTCCATCTCACCATCAGTTTGGGGGTCCTTGGCCTGGGAAATGTTGAAGACCCCTGATTAGAGCAATGTAACACATTTTTGATGAAAAATAAACAAACAGAGAAGCAGGCCTAAGCTAAGTATGTCAATTGTTATAAAATTGCATAAAAATAAGCTAGTGCAAAAAAAAAAAAAAACACCTATAAGTTTTAGCTTATAAGTTCTGGTTCAGTAGTTAAGCACAAAAGAAAAAAAAAAAAAGCTAATTTCAGCACATGAATGAATGAGTACCTATATTTCATGAATGATGCCAGCGATAATCATACAATTATTCCGATCTTAATAAAAGTGTATATAAAATTTTTAATGGTTCCATTGCTCTACATGTGCAGTGTTTTTTTCTGTGAGCTTTCCTTTTCCCACACTGACATCTACTGGTCTCAAGGAGGTAATCTCTTCTACCTTTGGCTCAAAGTTTTCGTCCACACTGGAAAGCAAACATAATGTGAAAATGTGTAACTTAAACATAACAAACAGAATCAATGCAAGAAAAAAAGCTAAAATTAACCAGCAGAATTTTTTCACACATTATGTTGCATAAAAAACCCACACTGATCTATTTTACAAGATACAACATGATGAAATAGTTCTTATTTGTGAAGTTGAAGCGATTTGATACACTATCTCAATATCTTTTCTTTTTTGTAATAAACAATGGCATATATTTATCGAGCCCATCAATACTTTGTGGATCGACTTTGAGGACCTTTCCGCTCTAGAGATACATGAATAGATACATCAACATCTTGTCATCTTTTGACAAAATGATTGTTATAATTTTTCAATGATTTTTTTTCAAGGAGAGTTTCAATGCTGTTACTGCTTATCACATTTAGAAAAGTAGTTTTGATCTCTCAAGGAGTCCAGAGCAGAGCGCTGCCACACATTTAAATGTGTTTTTTCTTTTATTTCTATACTTGATAAAGAATAATGACAAATCTCTTCTTGATATACCCGAACCTACCCATTGCAGTAAAGAGTCTCATTCAGACCATTTGTTGGTTCTTGGTCATATGTATCCAATGACAAAGTGCTGATAGATAATAGTTCACATGATGACATTCTGTATGAAATCTTGAGTAATCCATACAGTTGAGTCTCTAACAGACTTTTGTGCTTTAAAAAAAATGAAGTAGTAGATCTTTGGGGATCAAAATGAATAGAAATCACAAGCTACATTATTTTATTACAGTGAAAGCAATTTTGACCAAAACCAACAATCTCAGAAAAAAACCCATATTAATTTAGCATTTGTTAAACAGCTATTAAGTTTTTTCTCTTTTACCAGAGAGACTAGAAACTGTTGGTGGCACTAAGAAATTGTGCCATTTTAGGCTATTGTCTTTTCTAATGGCCCATTAGGTCTTACCCAATTTTACATCTTGGTATGTTTTTTCTGTTTTGCCATAAGATAACTAAGATTTTAATCGTATCAAAGGTGAGAAAATTTGGTATTTCAATATTAGATTTACTTGTTCAATAGTTTCTGACACAAATATAATATATATTTGTAAATTTTACCTATAGGTGCCAATATTTGATCCATTATGTGAGGCAAATTGAAATATTTAGGCCCCTGAATTCCCTGTGGAGCTTAAGATACACTTTTTAAACATTGATAAAACTCTGAGCAGCAGACATCGATTAAGCCGGGGCTGGGAGTTTTCTCCTCAAAATTGTCTGGAGGAATTCAAAAGTTACCTGGAAAAGTTGAAGCAGCTCCACTTTTATCTTTACATGTTTGAGTGAAGAACGACCCTGACAGCTAATCACAAACTCTGCAAAGATTTTATCAACAAAGTCTTCCAACATGTGTCAGAAGTTCCAATCAGCATTGTTAAGTACAGTATGCAATCAGAGGTGTATTCAACATAGATATATTGCATTCAGAAATACATCTAGAAAATTGACACCTTATAGATCCTTTATTGTAAAATGCTAATCCCCCATCACATAAATGCCACTTTCATGCATATAAAATCAAAGTTAAACTGAAAACAGGAGAACACTTGCAACCAAATGACACTTACTCTGATGATGACCTTTTTTATGTTACAGATGGACGTTATGTGTAAGTTTTAAATGAAATAGAGGCGTTAATATAGCCTTACATCTGCAGCTCCTCAGGAGTTAACATAGGAAACTTCTTGTCAGGCATGTCAGCTTCAATTGAAAGTAAGGGCTTGATAGGTTTATGCTTTACCATTTTAATTGATGGATGGGAAAATGGTCAAAGCTTGAGACATATTGCAATAAGCCTGGCTAGAAACTTCAGAAAAACTTTACCTCTAACTTATCTCTACTTAGTGAACATGGTGTTGCTTGTCCACTTATTTTCGCTATCAAACGTCTGAGGTATTTCCAAATTATCTCTATTAATTTTGTAATTAAATTAAACACAGGAGAACTTATACATTTCCCAACGCAAAGTTGTTGTGCTGGATTTTACTTAGGGTTTTGAGGGTTATGTTTGCTGAATGGTGCCAGTTTGAGATTTTGAACTTAATAGAAAATTAATATTAATATTTATGTTTGCTCTATCACATCCTATCCATGATAAAATGCTTAACTTTGTGTTTGTAACATTATATCATGTAAGAAAGAATCTGAGAGGCTTTTAATGAATTTATGTGTCAGGCTTTGTAGAGTTAGCATTTGATTTTTAGAATGTTGGTAAAAAGAATGTATTATTTGCTCTTGCTCAGCAGAGTAAGGGGACTACGGTAGTACAAAGAGCAAACTGGATCAGATCATATTGACTTAACTGTAATATTTTATTGTCCTGGGCAAAAGAAAATATAAAAAGTTGTAACTTAAGCACTTTTTGCAAACTTTTTTGTAGTCCAATGTCTTGTTTAGTGGAATGTGGGATAATTCTGGCTTACAAACAGAACCAGGATACTAAACTTGAGTTCCTGTGGTCACAATGTTGTGCGGTGTTTAATGTTTAAAGAGAAGGGTGGGGCAGCATTTAGTGTGGAAACATTTTCTATAATTCCACTGAAAAAAGCTTAGTGTTGGCATGAGATGGATGAAAAAGGGAAAAGGTGAAGTAAAACAGCACACAAAGGGGAGAAAGTACCACGTTGAATTACTTTAAAAGGATCCGTAGTGCATACTCACCAGGTATGGGGGGATTGAGGGGGGTAATGATGGGATGTGGTTTTGGGCTGCAGTGTGTCCGGAAACCCAGAGCTTGTGCTGTGACCAGCCGTTGTCTCAGCAGCAGCATAGTTCCCATTCTTTCCTACCACTGACCTCAAACCGGTCACCACAACTTCCTGTTCGGACACATGGGCATTCACACATATTGACACAGACACATCAAGTCCAATTTGACTTACTATAATTGGCTACTTGACAAATTTATAAAAACTGTCTGACCAACAGTGACTATAATAACAACTTATACTGTGTTTGTAGAAGTCTATGTGTGTACTTGTGCATGCACATATAAACGTATTTGTCCCATTTTACTAGTTGAGTGAGGACTTTGATGCAAAGTGAGGACCTTTTATTCGGTCCTCATCTTCTTTGAGTGTTAGGTTTAGGACTGAACTTCCTATTAGGGTTAGGTTAAGTCAAGGATTAGAGTCAGTGTTAGGCTATAGAAAGGCTTTGAATTGAATGTAAGTCATCACATGGTCCTCAGTACAATAATTATTTA